GTTTCACGTATTAATATATTTATTTATTTATTTATAACTTCAATGCACAAAATACCAAGGTAAAAGTACATATGGCGGACTTAACGCCTTAAGGCATTTTCTTTTATAATCAATAAGGAAAATGATACCTATGTTATAAATAATATATATTTACTAAAAGTAAGTTCATATACAAATATATATAAAGCTATAGATAAATATGAATAAAATACATACATAAATCAAATATACTGTTTGCTGGAGGAATATGGCAGTGGTTAATTTGTTTTAAAATGAAAGGAAAGGTATTTGGAATATATTGTACGTTGATTTTAATAATGACGCAACGGAATGTTCGAGAAGGAGTGCAAAATTGTATATAAAATAATATCGATATTTTGTGCCTGACGTTAGAAATATGAAATTTTAAAATTTTATTTTTAAAAAAAGTAAAGGGCTATTTGCGATCGCAAACATACTATATACATACCATATAATATACTTAAGAGTCTGACAATGAAATAGCAACAGCAGATAGAACGTAACAAAAAAAAAAATCGGGCAACTATAACGTGTATATAATAATATAATGATGTAATCAATCAGCTAGACTTGTAGACTTTCCACGAAGTTTTTCTTTCATCAACTTTATCAGCAAAAGAGTTTATAAAGATGTATCTCGGAAAAGTGAGCAAGTGAGTGAAATTACAGGACGCGGAGCGATGAGATCTCAGTCCTTTAAATTTCTTTCGGACGTCACATGATAATGTGATGCTCTGAGCTATTCAACTATTTAGAAAACGGATATTAATTCCATGAGGTGAAAATTTTGCTTGTTTTCAAATACAGTTACTTAAAAAAAACAAATAATATACCAATGACATGGTACTGTATAAGAGCAGGTAGTCTACTACCGTTGGAAGCAGTTTATTAGTTGATTTTTAATGATGTATGAGATCAGGCAGGGTTAGGAGGTATGACATCATAGTCTTGCAATGACAATACGTGAAGATTCTGTGTTATAGTGGTAGTGTTGCCACTATGATTTAGATTTTCGTAAGTATTATTATTTTTATTTTTAGTATGCAATAATGCACAGGACAAATATTCATAGCTTTTAGTTTACAATTTTAAATAAATACAATTATAAGTAGCTTTTTCAAATCTGCAAGACTAAAAAGAATATTAAAATTGTCACCTTAATATGCTTTATTTAAAGTGGAAAGTGCAGCATTACTTTTTCTACAAAATAAAATAACCCACAAATGAATATGCACGAGTACATGAATACAGTTTTTTCGCTGTAATAAAAAGTGCATAAAGCAAAGATTACATTAAGTGCACACCTCACCTCAGTGGTTTGGAAGTTACGTACACCTTATCTTCGATGGTTATGTATTCGATTTCTCGCATGATGCAAAAATTTGTATTAATGTGTATGATTGTTTGTATCAGCGTGGGTGTTTTCTATATATATAATGTATGTATTTACATAAAAAAAATTGTATCTAAGTATCAGTTGTATAGTACTCATACCATAAGCTCTTCTTAGCTTGGAACTAGATGGAACTCTGTGTCTTAGGTTATTATTATTATATTTTTTTTCTTTTTATCTTCTCGATATAATTCGGTATTATTATTCTGATAATATTATATTCCCGGGAACGGAACAGGAATGTTTGTAATAGCGCCGATATACAAGGAACTCATAAGTAATATTGTAATATTGCAAATAACCACGATAAAACATAAAAGCAGCGATTATATTAAGGTTGCCAAAAACCCCAGTACGCAATTTAAGTACGTATATACACGTATAATTTGATGGAATTTCTAGTAAATACAAGAGATTAGATAGCGTTTTGTAGTTTATTACTCCAACTGAAACTTTAAAGGTCGTGAGTTCTAATCTGGCTGACCCAAAAACATTTTTTTATTAATTTATATGTCTGACTAACTTCTCAGTGATGCAACACTGAAATTATACTAAAATTAATCAGAGATATGGCGGTAAACTTGATCCTGACACATTATCATCTCATTATCTGCTTCCTTCTATCATATTCCTTATCCCATTCATACGTACACTATATATAAATACGTAAAATTTGGAGATATTACCAACAAACAACAGATGTACTTGAAGAGTTTTTGTTTAGGACCTACACGTACAGTCTTCCACCTAATATGATAATATATAAAACTCATAAAACCCAACTGATCCATTCAAATCTCCTTTTGATAAGCCACGCACCGATCTAATACAACTTCGGGCACCTAATGGGTATGCCTCTGAACTTCATTTGAATAATAGCATTCATGTTTTATCGCGGTGAACGGGTGAAATATTGTAAATATTTTGTATTCTATTTATAAGGTAATAAGGTCAAAATTGGTCAAAAGTTTGCATTAAGTTTGAAATAATCATCATTCATCCCCACACGCTGGAACCTAAGTGAACTCGGACAGTGCGGTTTCAGAGGAGCTTCCTCCCGCATACACTTAGAATGTGGAATGAAATACCTGGCGAGGTTTTCTCGATAGACTACAGTATAGTTTTTCAAGAAGGGTATATTAAGGATCGGCAACGCGCACTTGACACCCTTGGTGTTTCAGGCGTCCATGGGTTACGGTAACCGTTTAAATAGTCAGATGGGCTGTATGCTTGTTTGCCACTAAGACCCAAACTAAGCAGAGATCAGCAGAGAGAGGTAAGCAGAGTGACTACTAGACAACTAATAGAAAAATTTAAATACATTTTTTTGTAAATACATTTACAATATATATAGAAAACACCAACACAGACAATCATAGTCATGAATACAATTGTTTACACCTTGCGAGGAATCGAACCCGCGACCCCCATCGGAAGTTAGGCGATGTGCTAAACCGCTAGACAACTGAGAACGTTAAAGCATAATCCAATGATATTGAATCTGAATTTGTTTCTAGAGTTGACCCGTAGAGGTTTCAGTGTTGCCGGGTTGAATAATATGTTTTTGTTATGGAAATAATAAGAGAAAAAAAGTATAGATCAAGTAAACATAATAAATTCCCGACTACTAAGTATAATGTCTTAGTACATAAATAATATATAGCCATATATTAGAAGTTAGACGGTATGCTCAATCGAGCTAAACTGAAACAACTAAAGCCGTCATGGCACAATCCAATATTATTGAATCTAAATTTGTTTCTTGAGTCGAGCCGCATGTTGCCGGGCTATATAATTTATTTTCATATGAAAATAATAAGAGAAAAAAGTACAGATCAAGTAAGCATAATAAATTCCCGACTACTAAGTATGATGTGTTACTACATAAATAATGTGTAGACATGGATACGTATGTTGACGTTACCGAATTTCACCATCCATTTTAACTAGATTCGCAGACTTTACTGCATCCAAAGTAAAGAGAGTCCTTCCCATATTTGTTATTATAACCACAATCTGAAGATCCGTTCTTCCACTCAAATTGTATAAACACAGAGTTTCACTTCAATTGGGCGCTTACCATGCGCAATTTCGTCGTAATATAATGAAATACGATGTAATGGTATTTATACATCATACATACAAAATAAGGGGTGGTTTTGAAGGGCTGGTGATCTTTGATTGATTCAATTTGGCATAAAGATGAGAAGACGATTTGTTTTTAGTAAATTTGTTTCGTCTATGGTTATTTAAAATCATGATTTTCTTTTATTGGGGTGTTTTGACCTGTAGCACTGCGACCTACATAGATTTATTGTGATCACCCTTTTCGCTACCTAGACCCGACAGTTACCAGAATTAAAGGATATTCTTAGGAACGATGGTATTTATCTCCTCAAGATGAGAGTACTTTTCAAAGGAGATATTACGTTTATGCATGAGTGGGCTACAATCACATAGGATGTGTAGTGTAGTTTCCTCTTCAGTTTAGATCTGCAGATTTTGTTGTTGTTTATATAGTTATAATATGTCTGGATACACAGTTATTGCGGCAAACCAAAATAAATGTGGTTTATATAGAACATGTGTTCGAAACGCCTGTAAAATATAAATACGAGAATAATATAGGTTTCTTCTGTTTATTTCTACAAATAAAAACTAAATGTACTTACGAGAAAGATATGTACCTTTTTTCGTATAAAATATTTTTATACGGAAGAATCATACATACGTACGTAACATTTGTTTTTCTAAAAATATGTTAATATTCCATTGTTATGTTTTTTATTATTTACAATTGCACACAAATTATCTGAATCTTATAATATAATGCTACAAAATTTAATATTTCAATTGAGCTACTTAACTACAACTCGTACCATCAATGAAATAAAAAACAGTTAAGAACCACGTCGATCACGTTAGCTTTATAAAAAAAAACAAATAATAATCAGTCAATTCGTTTAGGAGCTACGGAGGAAGACACATAGACATACAGCTACACTGTTGGAAACTTTTTTCTATACCATTTTATTGTTTCTGTTTTTTATAATAACTATTTGGTTTTACATATATGTAGGTATGACATAAATCATTATAATTTTTGCGACTATATCGGTGCTTACGTTATCTCCTTCCTTCATTATGTGAATTAATTACAAAATAAGAAAAAAACTTATTTTTATTCTTTATTAATTTAAAGACTTTTGTCAATTTTTGATCAGTCAGTCCCATCGTACCATATCTCTAATACAAACAAAAAACAAGTATTTAATCAACAATTTTCTGAATCATCATGTAAAGATGCATTTTATAATATATTTGGATTTCCGTGGAATTATACTTATACCAGAAAATAACTAAATACACTAATAAACCCATTCAGGTTACACACATTTATGTTAATAATATAAAAGGATTAATGCATAATGCTTCTGTAAATAGCACGTAGTCATAAGAGAATACTATCTATGAAAATTATAAAATGATGTTATATATTGTCAAACTGATAACACTCACAATCACATAAGAAGTAGACTCTAAAAGTGCTAAACGTATAATAGAAATTATAAGGAAATAAATGAAAATGACTGTATCAACTAGAAATGATACAAATGAACCACTTGACATAGATGTAAACACAACAGCAGCGGAAAACAAAACAAAAAACGAAGAAGTGGATTACGATGAATTATTATCATCAGCCGGTGAATTTGGTCCATATCAAATACTTTTATTTTTTTCTACTTTTCCATTCTACGTGTTCGGAGTTTTTGCATATTACACTCAAATATTTATGACTGATGTATCGCCAAACCATTGGTGCTGGATTCCAGAATTGCAGAATTTGACGTCCTATCAACGTAGAAGTCTCGCAATACCTCCCGATATTGAAATGCATTTTGGATATTCACAGTGCCGAGCTTATGTAGCCAATTGGACTGACGTTATAATTACTGGCAATGTACCAAATGAAACATGGGACACGGTACCTTGTCAACACGGGTGGGAGTTTAACAAAAGTGAAATACCATATCCGACAATATCAAGTGAGCTTGGATGGGTGTGCGATAAGAACAGCTATCAAGCAACAGCTCAAGCGATATTTTTTATTGGTTCAATTGCTGGAGGTTTCATTGTTGGATGGATTGCAGATCGTTATGGTAGAATACCAGCCATTGTCAGCAGTAATTTACTGGGATGTATTGGCGGTACTGCAAGTATGTTCGCAACAAATTTTGTTGTTTTCTCTACATGTAGGTTTATCACGGGGATGTCCTATGATAATTGTATGATGATGGCTTACTTAATAGTTCTAGAGTATGTTGCGCCAAAATATAGAAGTTATGTATCGAATATGGCATTTGCTCTCTTTTATGGTTCAGCTGTAACAGTTTTACCATGGATTGTTCTACTTTGTGGACATTGGAAGACTATAGCTTTAGCAACAAGTTTGCCGTTGGTCTTAGCCATTTTGGCTCCATTTTTCATACCAGAGAGTCCAAGATGGTTATTATCAAAAGGAAGAATTGACGATGCTATTAAAAAAGTTCTAGCTATTGGGAGAATTAACAAGAAAGAGGTTCCGCAGAAGCTAATAGAGCAGTTTAAAAATTCAACAAAGAAGAAGACAAACGAAAGAAACGAAAGTAGTCTAGAAATGTTAAAGAAACCTTTGTTGAGACGCATGTTCATTTGTATTTGTGTGGAGTACATGTGCTGTACAATAGTATTTGACGGTTTAGTGAGAAGCCTGAAACAATTGGAATTTGATTATTTCCTGACATTTTCATTAGTTTCGTTTACTGAGATTCCGTCTATGATTTTGACTGCTTTTGTAATGGACTGGATGGGAAGAAGGTGGTTATCCTCGATAGTTATGTTTATTAGTTTTATTTTTTCTATTCTAACAGTTTCAACTAGCGGGGTGACCTCTGTCATTTTTGCTATTATAGCAAGATTTGCAGTTAATATATCATACAGTGCTGCTATGCAGTGGGCTGCAGAAATGATGCCGGTTTCAGTACGAGGATCTGGTGCTTCGATCGTTCATATATGCGGATATGTTGCCACAGTTATATCTCCGTACGTCATTTATTTAGAAACGTATATATATTGGCTACCCTTAGTTGTGATTGGTTGTATAGCTGGATTTGGAGGAATAATTGCTTTGGCACTACCAGAAACAGCAAGAAAAGACATGCCGCAAACGTTTGAGGATGCAGAAGACTTAGTGAGATCCTTAAGATTTTGGGAGGTGCCGTTCCTATCTAAGAAGAATAATAGTGAAGGAAATGTAAATGAAAGTTTTGAGATGTGATAAGGTGTAAATTTAGATAGATTTTATGGCTATTTTGTAATCTTAAGAATAAATTATTTTGACACATATAAGTTATTTTTATACTAATTTATTTATCAGTTTTTAGTGAATTTTATTATTATTTTAATTATATGAATATAATTATTAAAATATAAATAATATATAATCTACCTAGTTCTATTATACATTTGATATTATTTAAATCCTATAAGCTATTGAAGAATAATAAGCAGATAGATATCGACATTACACCCGTAATTCATTTTAGTGCGCAAACATAGAAGGGCTACTATGCTGTCATTGTGTTTAAAGTTGTACTACTATAATTTGATGGCCTCGGTGGTCTATTAGATTAGCACTCTCCTTTACTTCCTATGGTCGTGGGTTCGATTCCTCGCACGGTGCAAAGATTTGTATTCATGAGTATGATTGTTTGTATCGGTTTGGGTGTTTTCTATGTATATTATGTATCTAATTACAAAAAAAATATCTAAGTATTTATATCAGTTGTTTAGTAACAAAAGCTCTGTTTACTGTGGGACTATATGGCGCTGTGTTCATTGCTTGCAAATATATATTTATTATTTATTTAATTTGACATATACCTAACGATGTCTATTTCTAAGGTACTCTACCTTAGAAATTTTGACTAAACTATTAGGAATCTTATTGGTAGATACCAGCTCACTTCGCGATTTCGGCGGCGGTCCTTAACTTTGTAAATTTTTATTATGTTTGTCGCTACCAGTGTGCACTGGTAGCGCGGTTTATTTTTCTCATGACAAAATCCGCTCTCTTTCTATATAATCTACACATATAAAAAAAATTGGAGTGTCTGTTTGTAGTATAGAAATAACCGTTTTTTACTACATGCATGTGAATATAAATACGGTACATACATAAAAATTTTTTTTTAACATTTTTTGTCTGTCTGTCTGTTTCGGCTAATCTCTGAAATGGTTGGACCGATTTCGATGGGACTTTTAGGCAGACTTTTGGCAGGTAGCAGATGTAATAATGAGTAACTTAGGCTACTTTTATTTTAGAAAAATAAAGTTAAATTCCACGCGGACGAAGTTGCAGGTACAGCTAGTTTACGAACTAGTCTAGTAACTAGTTAATGAGTTCTATAAATTTTTAAATTAATAATATTACAATTTTTGTAGTTACCTTCCCCAGTTCTAAAATATACAATTGGGAGCTACTGATAGAAGTCATTTGAAAAATATCTTTAATTTCATCCATCATTAGATTGGAACATTCTCCATGTTTACACATTTTATAAATTTAATAAACTAATCCTTTGTCATATGATAACAATTTTAAAACTAACAAATAAGGCTCATTAAATAATAATTATATTAAAACAGATAGTCTATCTGTGTGAATTATAAAACAATGTTATAAAAGAATGAACTTAAGTAACTGTTCAGCATTCCAATAGAGATGACGAGAGTTACAAATATTTGTTACGAAATAAAAAGTAAAAAACAAACGAAAAATGGAATCGTTAAGAAACGATAAAGAAAGCTTCAATATAGGGTCTAATAAAGACGAAGCTATTCCAACAAAAACTAGTAATGACGTAGAAGTTAAAGAAGTAACTTACGATGAATTACTATCATCAGCTGGCGAATTTGGACGTTATCAAATATTGCTCTTCTTTTCGACATTCCCATTCTATGTATTCGGTGCTATGTCATATTATTCACAACTGTTTATGACTGAGGTGTCGCCAAATCATTGGTGTTGGATTCCTGAGTTGCTAAATTTGTCATCAGAAGACCGCAGAGCCTTAGCAATTCCTTTGGATAACAGAACCCACTTTGGATATTCACAATGTACAGCGTATGTAGCCAATTGGACTGAAATATTGATAACTGGACAAACACCTAATGAAACATGGGATACTGTAAAGTGCCAACATGGTTGGGAGTTCAATAAAAGTGAAATACCATATCCGACTATATCAAGTGAGCTTGGATGGGTGTGTGATAAAAATAGCTATCAGGCAACGGCCCAAGCGATATTCTTTCTTGGATCTATTACTGGAGGCTTTATTATTGGATGGATTTCTGATAAATATGGAAGAATACCTGCTGTTGTCATCAGCAATTTAGTTGGATGTATTGGTGGAGCTGTCAGTGTATTTGCGAGAGATTTTATTGAATTCTCAATATATAGATTTTTTATGGGGATGTCATATGATAATTGTATGATGATGGCTTATTTAATAGTTTTGGAGTATGTTGCACCCAAATATAGGACCTTTGTATCGTACATGGCATTTGCTCTTCTTTATAGTATTGCTGCAACAACATTACCATGGATAATTCTACTTTGTGGTCACTGGAAGACTATAGCTTTAGTAACAAGTTTGCCGATGGCATTAGCTATCTTCACTCCATGTTTTATACCAGAGAGTCCAAGATGGTTATTATCAAAAGGACGCATTGAGGATGCTGTTAAAAAAGTCATCGAAATAGGACGAGTAAATAAGAAAGAAATACCTCCAGCAACAATTGAAACGTTTAAAGAAACTGCGTGTAATGCCAAATTAGAAGAAAATGTTAGCTGTTTGGAATTATTAAGAAGACCGTTATTGCGAAGAATGTTAATTTTTATATGTTTAACGTACGTATGTTGTACTATAGTATTTGATGGACTAGTGAGAGGGATTAAGCAATTGGAATTTGACTATTTTATAACATTTTCAATTGTATCGTTTACCGAGTTTCCGTCGATGTTAATCGCCGCTTTCATAGGTGAAAAGATGGGTAGAAGGTGGATGACATCGTTATTCTTATTTGTTAGTTGTGTGTGTAGTATCCTTACAGTTATTACAGGTGGGTGGTTGTCGACATTATTTGCTGTTGCTGCAAGATTTGCAGTTAACATGTCTGGGAGTGCTACGACATTGTGGACTGCTGAATTAATGCCTGTATCTGTTAGAGGATTTGGTGCTTCAATAGCGCATATTTGCAGTTATGTTGCAACGGTGATTTCCCCATATATTATTTATTTGGAAATTTACATTTACTGGTTGCCTTATGTGGTGATTGGATGTGTGGCTGGATTTGGAGGAGTAATTGCTTTAACGTTACCAGAAACAGTGCGAAAAGAGATGCCACAAACATTCGAGGATGCAGAGGAGCTAATGAGGTCTATACAATTTTGTGATATACCATGTACATCAAAGAAGAAAAGTGTAGATGGAATTATAAATGAATGTTTTGAAATTAAATAATTCTCTTCATTTTTTACTAATATAAATTTAAACTGATGATATTTGGGTGGTTATACTTATGTATGTATAATTCTTCTGAGAGTATCTTAAATATATATATATCTAATATAAATGTTATAATATAAATGTGTTACAAGTATATATTGTATTAGTAGAATTGTTTAAAATATATTATTTTTTAAAGATTTCAAATATGGTACTGAAATATAAGTATATTAGAGAAATACAGTATTTAATTTTTATATAATCATTATTGAACCATGTTTTAACCATAATTGTACCTTAATTTATCTTATTTTGCTTCCACTACCGAGTGTAAGACCACAAATATATAGTGCAGAAACCTGACAACCGCTACTGTAAGCATTATGACCTTCTCTAGTAGTGATCAAATTCCGACGGTTATTGGATGTACATGCATTGCCACTTGTGTATCGCCCTTTAACGAGGTTCATCAGGCAATGAATAGGGTTCGGATATAATTTGGAAGCCTATTGTTAACTGTTTTACAACTAAATTACGACTCACTGTCATAGAGAAGATTGTAACACTTTCAGTAGCGGTGGGTATGTGTTTCTAACTCAATATTTGTGGCTATACACAAGCTAATGGTACTGGAATTAAACATAATAATATAAATCAATGATAAATCCATAAAATGGCACCTAATTTAATACAAGAGTAGATAGAAGGTTCGAAAGAAGTTGCCAGACGCTTAAGTACAATTATCTATCTCGATAAACAGTCAAAATTACGACATTGTTAATATACGTAATGGTGACAATGTACTACAGAATTACATAAACATCTTACAGTTGGTATGTATTTAGAAACTGGTAACTTTATCTCTAAAGGATTAGTTATCAGACAATCACTTACATGTGATGAAACTGTGGAAGCTGTTGACTCCAAATATCAACAGACCGAAACAACATCAGCGACTGATGAAAATGTAATTATTTATAGCAATAATATTATTAGGAACCCAGACAATAATATTACATTTGTGTGTTCACAGGAATTCGAACTTGCTCAACTCATCCAGAAACTAGGTAATAATATTAATCAAATCGCAGACTAATATCAAAGATATTCATAACTATGAAAGTTGTGTGAAACTTTGCTGCGAAATGTTGCTAATTCAGTTGATTGAATTAGTAATCTTGTCGCTCTTGTACAAGGAAATTGAACAATTTAATCCTATATGTAGTTACCTAACTTGCGAGTGGAAATCTTCACATAGTATAAAATGAAGTCGTTTTCGCTGTCTTTTCATTTAGATTAATAAAGTACTCAATTAATTGTAATGCAGTTTTTAGCAATAGATAGAGTGATTTAAGAGGAAGGTTTATATGTATAATACCTGTACACCTGCGGGAATTTAGGGCGTGTAACCAGTTAAATTATAATCCGTAGTTCAGCGGTTCAGCACAGTCTTACTTTCGATGTATACGAGTTCGATTCTTCACACGAATTCATATGTATGAATATTTCTATCTGCCTGGATGTTTTCTATGTACATTATAGTATTTATATCAGTTGTCTAATACCCATAACAGCAAGGTAGATATGTATATGTATCCAACATGGCAGAAAGCGAGGCTACCGCAGAATATTATGTGTTGACATATTTATCTATCTAAATTAGTGATGGTTGGTAGTTCGTATTCATTTCTTCTTGTGATGAGATGGCTTTCCGAATGAGCGGTAGATAAAAAAAATATGATTATTCAAAAGTGATTAAATTAAGTCTATTTGAATAAATGACTTCCATTCTATTCTATTCTATAACATAATTGCGTAAGTTTTATACATAGTTAATAAAATTATCGAACTAAGAACATTAATTATTTACATCTGAGGAACTATATCAGACAGCTGACAGTTGAAAGGGTCAATAAGTTATTAGAGCAGATAGGATGGACTCTTATAATATAATAATGTAAACATAATTTATATCCTTATGGCATGACCCTTGTTATATAGGAGATGGGTCACAGTGTTCCAAGGTAGTTTGGTCCAAGTGCCCTGTCACGTGTCCTGGGAATGGACAGACAGTCAAAGAAGCAACCAATAGTTATAATGCATATATTTATATATGCAAATACAGAGTTTAGTGTGTCGTCGTAATATCATAAACGTAGAAATGCTGTATTGGCTAATAAAGATATTTGTACACATGAAATAATGCAAATTTAAATAATATTTCGATTCATAAATATTTATATGACTTTTTAGTATAAGTGATATTTATAATATAATTATCATATAAAGGAAAAGGGCAAAACACAATAACTATTAGATTTGATTCCTTGAAAGAAAAACAATAAAAATAAATAGGAATTATTGAGTTGGCATGATTATAAAAAAAACCGCAACGGTAGAGTCGTTGCCCGGCATCGTTTATTGTTAGTACAGGCGGGTGTGTATTATTATGATCCACATAAAAATACTAATTATATTATAATTTATATGTTTATTTACATATTATATTTAGATTTCATATGTCAGATAAATTGGGAGATCGAAGCGTAGGAACACATCAAATATTTGATCTCATTAAATTTTATACACACAAGGATCGTGGAGTTAAATATAAAAAAAGTTAATTTTACGAGAAATCAAAATAGGAGATGTGGCACAAAGCTCAGTAGGCCTTCAAACGACAACCCTCAGACCCTATGAAGATCGTAAACAAGTTTGCTATCCGCCATTGATCCCTGATTATGTAAATATTGGTTTGTTCGAGAAATTCTGGTCAAGAAAATAGTTGCTATGTGTGTGATTTTCGATATACTTATTATAGAATGCTTATAAGTAGTAAAGACATAGTTCTATTTTTACATATAAAATACTCGATGGGTTCTGATTACAATAAATAGTAATAATAATATCTCGGGATAATTCACACAGACATTTAGCTAAGCAGAGCTTGTATTATGGGTACTGGATAACTGATATAAATACATTTATATACTTTTGTTTTTATAAAAATAAACATAATATATATAGAAAATAGTAAAACCGATACAAACAATCATACTCAAGAATGATCAAATGTTTGTGTATCGTGCGAGGAGTCTAACTCGCGACCATCGGTAGCAAGGAGATATGCTAAACCGCTAGACCACCAAGGCTTTAATTTAATTACAAAAAGAGCATTAAAACACAATTTGTATGAATAGAAAACTATAAAACTGTATGTCAAGTTCCTTTGCCATAACATAACATTGGCAATATATCATATAAAAAAGTAAAATAAACAGTGAGTAGTAGTTTCTCGATTTAAATAAAATATTTTTACTATTTTCCCCGGTATGAGATTAATTCTCGGAAACATTCCAATATACTTTTTTCATATTTCGAGAATATATATATATATGTATATAAGAAACGTTATTCAGTCATAATTGAAATAGAATATGCCCTCGGGGAAAATGTTATTTTATATAATACTAGCTGCGCCCGCGGTATCACCCGTGTGATGGTCGATATGTTACTCTGATATAGCTATATTACTGTAAAGTTTCATTAAAATCCGTTCAGTAGTTTTGGTGTGAAAGAGTAACAAATATCCATCTATACTCACAAACTTTCGCGTTTATAGTATTAATAATAAGATTACTTAATAAATGTACATTTAAGACTGTAATACCACCCCGGATAGCGGCATTGACAATTATCGAAGTCATGTGGAACGTAATTGATACCATACTTCCTTGGTATATGTGAATACTACATAGTGAGGGGAAGGGGATTGTTAGTAATGGGAACTAGTAACTCCCATTGCTAGCAATGTACCATGTCAGGTCGACCTCCACGTGTTTCTCCGGTTCTCCCTGGAAACCATCGTGATGAATTCTTGGTGAATTTGTCACGATGGGCTAACTGACCTGACCTCGTGCTCATCTTATCATCCTCCACTGGTGCCCCGCCAGCGTAAACCGTTAGCGCAGGTGGGTGCACCATTCATTTATCATAAACAAAAAAAAATACTACATAGTGATTCCATCACCAGACAGTGAGTCAGAAATATAATTTGTCACACGATAGATTTTTTGTTTCCGCCAGATTTGAACCTGTGACATTTTGCGTGTAATTTGTAAACCACGAGACTGTGGTGCTCTCTGTTATAAATTAATTCATATAATAAATTTCTGAGTTTTTATAATCACAGATATATTAACAATAACGTATTAAATGTTGTTTGTTTTAGGTGGAAATGATAAAAAATCCGATCCACGTAGGCCATTTAAATAAAATAAACCTAATATTTAGGATCGTGTGATTTTGTTGAGGGACTAAATAGCCAAAGGCAAGGTGAATGAAATATATAGAGGGTTGCTCCATCAAGCTTTGCGATGAGAATATAAAAAAGGAATAACAATCGAAAATCCGCCTAATAAATGTACCAAAGGCCTTAGTGCTCCGTACCCAAGACTTTAATGGAGGTTTCCTATTGTTATGTCAACGATGTTCATTATTCAGGAATGTTACTTTTATACGAAATGACGTTGGGACTTGCATATATTTTTTTTATATGGACAATATTGAGTATCTTACAGTTACGATATGTTGAGAGTTTTAAAAAAATATAAATATTCTATGCGGGTACATAAAAGAAACTTATTATATCGGAACGGATTGGTAGTCCTCATCGTCATGACAATAGAAATAGATCTTTTAAACTACACAACGGATTTTAATACAGTTTTTAGCAATAGATAGAGTGATTCAAGAGGAAGGTTTATATATATAATACATCTACAATAATGTACATCCGTGCGAAGCCAGGGCGGGTAGCTAGTACTATATCTTAACTAATTATACCTACGGGGGTTTGTTTCATTTGCAATTAAATTGCTAGTAATTTCGCATCCATTGTGTTGTTGAAAGATTTTTTCTTGTTCCAGTTATTTCATGCGTAACAAAAACTTATTGTTCAAAGTAAAGGCAATGACCTGCAACCTCACACAATATGAAAATGTAATTAAAAAAAT